AAGTTGTACTGTTGCGAGGTACAAATTTTAAAAAATCAAACATATATAAATGTGCTTTGTCAATATATAATTTTTTTTTTTAAGTTTTATGAATCAAATGTGGAGATAACGAACAGTAATCAAGCTCAAAAGTCCATTAAACAATACAAATCAGAAGCATCTAGCAAACCCGGACCTCTAAAAGCATCAGAGGTGGGATCAGGTGCCATGGAGGAATAAGCATCCCCTGTCGACTGGTCACACCCGCCATGTGCTCCTTGTCATGAACGGGAAAACGGAAAAATCGTAGACAATTCAGTGTGTAAATGATGGCCTAACAATAAGTACGAAAAACGTCAGTTAACATTTGACTTCATTATAGATTGTATTTGCTAACAAGGTCATTGATCGACCATTAAACGTGCGAAATGATGACTTTAAACGAGACTTTTGATATTTTTGTTTCATCTACTTATTTGTCAATAGCTTGCCTCATTTTAGAAATTGTACGTAGAACATTCTCTTGCGTATCAAAGCAACTGGGGGGCATAAACCCCCATAAGCAAGAGACAAGGGTATATTGCTACATAAGTAAAGGAAGGTGACGATAGAAAAGTTGAAGTCATCACGTTTATCATAAAGTTGTTAGGTTACCATTAACGTCTTTCCAGTAAGATATCCAAATATAAAACAGATGTGTCAGACTCTGTGGTATTTTTTATTTCAAGTTCACTGGGATATATCGAGTCGACGTATGATTGTAAGTAACTATTGTTAATTGATAATTGGTCGTCGATATATCTAATTGTCGAGTTGAAGGCCACAGCAAGTGTTTTCTTCTTCTCATGTACAAGGTTTAGAATAAATCCTGCTTCATATAACAGAAAAAGGTCTGCTAATAACGGGGCGCAATAAAGTGCCCATGGAAATTCCGAAAGATTATTTGAAGACCTGATCTCCCAAAACTACATAGATATTGTCAATCAGAAACTCATCATCTTTTTATTATCAACTTTAGAGTACTTGTGTGTACAATCAGAATGTTTTTAACCAAATAATTTTGCAAATGACCAATGACAAGGCAAGTAAATTTACGAGTTCCATCTTTTATTGAAAAAGCAGCTGTCGCTGTCTATGATGACAAAAAGCCTAGAATTTAATTTATCGTGGGGAATGGTTGTATAAAGTATTGAAGAGTCGAACGTTTTAATATTATTGATTTGGTAAAATTTTGTGATTATAAAAAGTTCCTTGATGTTTTTAAGTATTCACGTCTGATTTACACCATTTCTCGAATATATTGTTGTACAGTGCTCCTGAAGTTTCTCCTACACTGCTGTTAATATAAGAAAGAGGCTTGGCAGAACATTTACTGGAGCCCGCCATGTATCTTTGTCCGTGAGGATTTCTATGAAGATTAGGAATCCAGTGTAGGCATGGTAATTCAAATTCATTTTGATTGTTGGGAATATTAAAAATATTTCAAACTGACATATGATTTTGAAGAATTTCCTCCTTAGAAAGGGGGCTATGTGTATAAGTTGGATTACTACTTGCCGAATGAAATCCCAGTTCCTCTAAAATACAATTAAAATAAATGAGCCTTACAAACAAAGACAATGTTGTTACCTGCTTTGTCAGCTGGAACCAGTACATACCAGAACCAGTACATACTGATCGTATAATCTATATAATTCTTTTTTCACTTCTGAATTATTAAATATTTTGTGTTAAAAATACATTCAGAAAATGTGTAGGTTGATATTAGTCATCATATATACTATAATTCCAACATCTCCTTAGACGTCATATTTAAATATGAGAAGTAATAGCATATAATTCATACACAGGCATTGAAAAACATGTCATTACTTGCAATCTCCTAGATCAACATTTTGCTATTGAGAATCAATTGCAAGAATCAGCAAGAAAATTGTAAGCGTGTAAGAACCACATTTTTTAAATATATTTAACTCAATACTATAATAAAAATGTCAGATTGCAATGTAGATATCCCAATGGGACATTATCAATGCTAAAACGAAAGACAATCATGGATTTTGCTGTCAGTTTTTCCAATGGCAGAATAAGAAATGAAAAATAAGCATATTTAAATTTAAAAAAAAATCACTTACTAAGTTACAGAGAGGTTAAGATGTAATTTTGGTCAGACTTTATTTTCCCCTTTTGACATTTTCCTTGAAAGAGTTTTAATTGTTGTGATGTTTTCAAACTATTGTTCATTTATTATGCATTAAAATATCATGCAGAAAAATGTTGATATAAGACCATCTTAAATAAAAAAAAAAGGAACAACGACACAGCAATGCCTATTTCTCATTCTTCTGAAGAAGTAGTAAGCTTGTGTACATGTACTAGTATGTATTTGTCTGAAACAACAATCTTTATTTTAATTTCTGTTAAATACCATTTCATTTTAGTGTGTCTCCACACATCTCTAAATGTTGTAGCATTTTAAGTATTATCTGTATATTGTGGTTAAAAAATTGCAGCATATTTTAGTGTTATGGTGCAATTTGTCATGCTTTGGCATTGCTTGCATTCTTTATCATGAATTGTGCTTTGTCAATGAGATGAAATACATTGTATACTAAAGAAGAACAGGTGAACGATTACTATATGTAAACCGAGTGCAACATTGAGTACCTTTGGAATAATTAGATACACATCTACTAGAAGTATTGATTTTTTAAAGAAATGAATATGATCAATATATTAAAATGCATAATCCCTTTTGTTACCCTTTTCATTATTGTATTATTAATCAATTTGAAACCAATTAAAAATTGTACTAAGTTTACAAAATGCAAAGAAAGTTAACTACAATATGTTGGCACATCAGTTTGCAATATCGAATAGAACTGCATTGTCAGTACAAACAAAAAAGCTAGAGCGTTTAGAAATGTCTTAAATTTTTATACGTGAAATCAATCAAAATTCATAGTAAAATTAAATATTTTTTTTAGTACAGTTTAAAAACTATTTTCTGTAGCCACTTAAACATTTTTTAGCACGCTTGGTAGCCGATGTTGATGATTCTTTGCTCTTTTGTATAGCTCATTTGTATGTTAAACAAAATTTGGTTGCTATGTGTCTTGGTTGCCAAGGTAACAGAGGTAAAATTTCGAAATATTGAGATTTTCAGTTTCTTTGAATAGTTATTAACTAAAAAACCAAATTGACAACAATCACAAAAACACTACACCTTGTTTCCACTTACACTAGCTGTAAGGGAATTATTAAAAATCTATCTATGCATGGGAACAATTGAGACTGGTGTCTCAAACCAGTGGTACATTTGGCATACATTTTATACGGTAGAAAACACTATATTTGCTAATAAAAGGTATTAATTATAAAATGGTAATAGAAAAACCTTCATGGTTGGTATGGTAACACAACTGGGGCTATGTTTCGATTAATACTGCAATCTTTAGGAAAGCTGTAGAAAATCAAAATTACAAATTTTTATCTTTAGAACCTTGGTTTCATTTAGCATAATAAATTGTGTAGTTATTGCTCCATTGTGGTGTTACCATGGAAACACTGAACTTCATCACCTAAAATTAAACTCATCTTTTAGAACTGAAGTTCTTGTATATATTGAGCAAGTTTGATAAGGAAAAAAAATTGTTGCTATGGTTGCCAGAAATAGAAAATTTTCAATTTTATAATGTTCAATTTTGTTAATTTCATTGCAGTATTAAACTGTATATGGTAGCATCTTGCATCCAGTCAGAGATTGTGTAGTAGGTATAACTGAAAATCAGCTAAGTTGTTCAAACATATGTTTGAAATTTTTCATTGAATTTCTATCATAAGTCTATTTTTAAAACAAGATATAAACTTATTGAAATGTAGAAATGTAGACCTCGCTATTTCCTTAACATTTGCTTTCCAGATATCTAGAGACGGGCTGTATAAAAAGATAGAATCAGATAAAAGCATAAAGAGGAGTAATTAAACTAAATCCTTTTAGGTTTGTTATCATAGCAACCAACAAGTAATGTCACATTTCTTTCTTGTAACATGTTACTAGGACCTTTCGCCATTATTTGGTTACATTTTGAATAATCATTTCTTTTAGTTTCTAAAAAGTATTTGTATTCAAAACGATTGAATAAAAATACTGCTATTCTTCAAGACTTTGTTTCCGTGGTAACATATTTTAGAGTATTTTAATCATCCGAATAAGATATCAGGTCTTTGACTTTCACAGTTACTGTAATTGCAAACGTTAGTAACGAGACCGAATAATTATGCTTGAAAATGCTATATTTGAAAATTTGGGTTGTCATTGTAACCATGTCACACAGCAACCCATTTCAATTGATTTTAAAAAGTTCATGGTATCAAATATAAGTTCGAAGAAATTCTTTGAATTTAAATGCCATGGCTCCTGTGTAAGAGTTGAATGGCTACTTCAATTTGTATAAAAAGAGCGGTAACTTGCTCAGAATAATTTACTTCAAGGTTTATGTCAAATATTATTTGAAAATTTTCGTCTATTACTAGTAATCAATTATTGGTCCAATTTGGGGGAATATAACAAAAAGAAAAAAAGAGGGAGTGTCAAAATGTTAGAACAAACATTCTTTTTTTCATGTATAAAATAATGAGAACAGAACATAATTAAACATATTTATAGAAATGGATATCAAAAAACGACAGAAGCATCACAGTGTCCGGTAAATAATAAAATTATACAGATCCATATGTTGGTCTAAATAGATTTCAATCAAGTTAGAGACACAACATATACATAATAAAATGATTTATCAATTTTGACATTATTTATTGAAATTAAAGTTGCAATTTACGTCAAATAAACAGCAAGTCTCAATGTTCAAAATTAAACCAACCATAATGAAATTCATATTCTTTTCAGTTACTTGAAAAAAGAACAATTAATTATCACGGTCATAACAAATTATTATAATACATGACTTAAAAACTAAAACTTCTGGGGTTTTTTTACAGTTAAAATTCGTCTCATTTAATTTATTTTATTTGATCAGGTTTATCCATCATGGGCTGCATTTCTTTACTGTCCCCATCCTTCTTTTTATTCACCATCATCCTACGTCCAAAGGGCTCCATCAACAGTACAAAACCCCCTAACACAGCTGTAGCCCCCATAAAGTAGAAAGAAGTCAGATAGGATCCGGTATAATCCCGTAATTCACCTTAAAGATCAAAAAGTTCAAATTATTCTATAATTGACTTTTTTATGATAATTAGCAAAACAGAACACGCAATCCCAATTTCGAATTTGTACTTAACGTTTCAAAAGAGATATTTGTAAAAATTAAGAGCATTATTATGTTCGTAATATTTTTTCCAAGAAACATTCGATACTTTTTTACGATAGTTAAAGCGTTACTGAATAAAGAAACTTTTATGACTAATACAGAGCATATAGTTTTAAAAAAAACCAAGACACTGCTTCCTGAGTCAGCCTTCTGTTCCTAAAAATGAGTAGTTATTAACGAAAACCCTTCATTATGGCCTTGAAACTTTAGTCAATGATTTCAACAATCTTCTTTTATATAATTACAGTAATTAAGGATCGATGTCAAGTTTATAAATTGTAACGTAGTTATTTGTATAGAAATCTATGTAGAAGTCCGTGCATTTTTCTTTGAAACGTTTGCCCAACCTTGAAAAAAATGAATTTTACTCCAATATGTAAAATTTTGATTACCTATTAATTTGTTTGCTTATTTGTTGTTTAATGTCCCTCTGGAGAATTTTTCACTCATATGGAGACGCCACCACTTGCCGGTGGAGGGCTGCAAATTTTGACCTATACTCGGGCTTATGCGGTCTCATCCGAAGGACCGGTCTCCACGTCAGAGCACGTCCCGCAGTGGATTCGAGGATCTACTCTTTACACTGCGACTCTATAGAGCAAACGCTCTAACCACTGCACCAAGCGGGCGACTATTACCTATTGAAGCTACAATCTTGTTCTTTACACAAATGTCTAAACAAACTGGAATATACACTATCTGGGGTTGCTAGAATATTATCTGAGTGATTGTGATACTGCTGTTCTTAAAAAGATTTATTTTGGACATTTTTTATTCTGAATTCTAGGTCTTTGTAAAAAACATCACCACTCTGTTGAGGCTCAACCCCTACATTTGAGGGACATGAATAGAAGAAACTAAATCTACACTACAGCATGATTCTTTCACACCAATTTCATTTATTATAATCTTATTTTTGGAAGATTTTCATCTTTTTCTATCCTTAACATATCTTAAACAACACCGTGTATTGTTGTCCAATCCTGCTCTTGAGACCATGATTTGAACATAACTAAATCAACAAAACATTAGGATGCTTGCATATTCATTTGACTAATTGTATTCCTGTTGATCTTGAGAAGAAAATTTCAAACAAGATCTTCTTTATATCTTTGCAAAACATTGACATCCTATCGTGGCCATAATTTGATAAAATTTGAATCTTTACTGTAATGTAGAAGATTAACATTTTTTTTTTTACTTTTGATCTTGGTATTATAATAGTGGTTCTTAAGAAAACTGAAAGTAAACAGACGACAGACATGACATCGGCGGACAAAGTACACTTGAGCCTGTTGACATGAAAAGAACATAAAATTTAAAGTTAATATTACCAATTAAAACAGTGGACATTGAAACTGAGATTCCCAAAGTAACTGTAATGGTGGTGAGACCATGACGCAGATTATCTAATCCTAAAAAGTCTACGATTATAGCCGGAAACAAGGAGAAGTAGGTCTGCCCAAACAAACCATGCAACACAGAATATATAATCAGAGTGTAGAAGTCATCATAAAATCGTACGAACATACAAGACAATCCATTCAGTAGCATTGTTATGGCTAAAATTTGGTGCCGCTTCAAAGTTTTGCTATCAGCAATGAATGTCAGACCGATTCTATTGACAAGGTCACAAGCAGCGCAAATAGTGACTAAAAGAGCAATTTTTTCATCTGTCAATCCACAGTCACGTGCCAGCGGGGGTATATAATTGACAGGCAGTCCAGCAGCGGAAATGTTCAGAATAGAACTCACCGTAAATACGTAAAACAGTGGATTTTTAAATAATGCAAAATTAAAAAATTGGTTAGCATTTTCGTTAAACTGTGTTTTCTCTTTTGATTGGTGACGAGTAGATGGCCCTCTTTTTTCAACTGAGGACCAAACTACCATAGTCTGTAGAGACGGAGATAAGTACAACTTTTTAAAATCCTCTTGTAGATCATGGGTACTTATAGCTGTTCTGTGAAGAAGGTTGGACACTTTGTTAGTTTCCATAATGTTTTCCGACTGTGTTCTTCTTCTACCAACCACTGGACCATTAGGTCTGTGTCCATGAGTCTTACTATTTGGAAGAGTATATGTTCCATTTGATTTTTCATACACATTCTGGTCTTTTGTGTCATTATCAATTGCACTTCCTGTGTCATCATCATCTCTGACCTCTAATGTTTGAATTTTACCGCCCTCTGATGGTAAAGGTCTCATTAATGCCCCACAAACAATGGCTTGTAGGAACATTCCACTGACTATTAACAATGTTCCAGACAGTCCAAGATAGTCCATCGAGATTTTTAGTAAAATTGGCCAAAGTAATCCCCCTATGCTACCTCCAACGTTGGCAAAACTGTTTGCAAATCCTCTTTTTTTCTCAAAATATCGGGACAAAATCAACACAAGTGCAAGTTGTGACATTGCAACACCAATACCTGAATAAAAAAAAAACGACAAAGTAAGATAGTTTTCATTTTCCCTCATGTTTTTTGTTCTGGATATTACGAAAGAAAAAAAAAACTTTTCTGTAGGGAATTAAGATTTGAAGCAGATTGTTTAATACTATCATAAAGTAGACCATTTGGTGTTAAGCAATAGACACAGACAGGTTCTGCTCACACTATCTATCTATCTATCTATCTATCTATCTATCTATCTATCTATCTATCTATCTACATGAACTATAGAAAGAGAACATTAACAATCTTAATTTACAGAGACAACACTATTCTCTACATGAAAGTTTTAAATCTGATATCGTTTTATAAGTGCTATTTTTTATTCGTATCACATTCAGTTATCATCCCATTTAACCACCAATTTCTATTCTTGGCAAGAGAAAACATTCGTTTTTTGAAGTTAAAAAAATGTCTTCAGTGGGATTTTTCATTCTTTATCAAAGAGTTAATAGAGAGTGTTCGATGTCTTTTCTGGGTGTTGTTACAAAACATGAGCATCTATAAACTAGAGAAGGTTGCATGTACTTTATCGTGTAAAATAGTATAATAAAAATGAAAGGTAATCTTACTTCTAACTAATTGCATCTAAGGGTTAAAATTTCTACAAGTACAATATTTTTAATTTGCTCTTAGAAAACTCATGTTTCAAAGAGAAAAGGAAAATGGTTTGCTGGCATTTTTCATTCATGCTGTGGCTTTTGAGAGACTTTTATCAATTTAATAGCTGTTCTCTCTTAAAGTACTGGTTACAATGAAGTGTCAAAAGCGGGAACAAACAGATTTTCCTTGAAAAAAATATACGAAATTTGAATACCAAAGATAACTCCTTGTGTTGCCATCAAAACCCCAACACTGGAAGCGAATGCGCTGCCAATTTGCGACACCGCCGTTAGGAAAGCACCAAACATGACTAATGTTCGCTCAGTAAAGAATCTGGTCCCTATTCCTAGAACAATGACCGCTAGAAAAATATAAGATATATACATAATAGAATAAGATAAGAAAGTGAATCTGTGTTAATTTATTCTATAAATGTTTCTCAATAAAAGCACAGAAGTAATATCGATTTTTTAAAGTTCATTGTATACACTTGAGAGAGAGAGAGAGAGAGAGAGAGAGAGAGAGAGAGAGAGAGAGAGAGAGAGAGAGAGAGAGAGAGAGAGATTCTATGAGACAGAGAGAGAGAGAGAGATTCTATGAGAGAGAGAGAGAGAGGTTTACATGAGAGAGTGCTACTGATTGTCTGGATGGAGATCACTAGTGATATGCCAGAGGAAGTGGCGTCATATTTCTTCAAATACGCTACGAAAAATATCCCAAAACTTTTGACGAAGCCCACAAAGATAAAGAAGTGTACAGTAGAGGCTGAAAATCAAAAGTAATATGTTTCATGTCAATGAATTAAAACATAACTTTTCATGTTTGTAAATAGAATTTATTATTACAAATCAGGAATTTTTAAACCTGTGAATTTCGAAAATAAAAAATTATCATAAACTAGAAATACCTAACTAAAGGGGGATGTGTATTTCAAATTGAAATTTTAGAATATGAAATTCGTAATAGAAACTAAGAACAGTCATAATTCTAGAGAAGACTGAACTTTCTTCCTTTCTTCCAAAGATTTTCTTAATTTAACGAACATACATGTATATGAAAAAACCAAAAATAATGAAAAGAATTACATGTGTTTTCAGTTAAGTATGTGTTGAAGTCTTTGATAGGAATTACTTAATAATTAATATCTCCGAACACACATAAATATCTGCTTCAGTTGTCGATATTGACACCGATATCTAATCAAGACTGATAAGGACTCCGAAATTGAAATCAATTGTATTCAAGGACAAAAGTATATGTGACCAATATATAGCTTGACTCTCGGAAACTTGAATAGTTACAACATAATAAATCGACATTCATAAGCAAAGTATATACCAAAACTGTATAAATAATACATCTTATTTTAGGGTACTCATCAAATACACATACATGAATGTATTTGATTAAGATAACTTGAAAGTCAAACTCACCAGCTAGTACAACCCAGGCCCATCCTCTGTCGATAGGTCGTATCGTCTCTGCAGATGGCATCAATTATATCTTTAAAATAAAAATTAAACTTACTATGCTTCTCTCTTTATATATATATATATATATATATATATATATATATATATATATATATATATATATATATATATATATATATATATATATATATATATATATATATGTGTGTGTGTGTGTGTGTGTGTGTGTGTGTATTGAATCATCCTGGAGACAAAAACTCCATATGCAGGTGATAATTGCTACATAAATAAAGGAAGTTGACGGTAGAAAAGTTTAAGTCAACACGTTTATCATATTGTTTAGTTTTTAGTTTGCTATTAATGTCTTTCTCTAGCAAAATACCCAAATAAGAAAGAGATATGTCGGACTCTGTGGTGTCCGACGACGGTAGCCTAGTGGTAGGGCGTCGCTTTGTTTTCGGGAAGCCCGGGTTCTATCCTCGTTCGTCGCGTCGCGTCAAACTTAGACGTAAACATAGGTAATAGGTAATAGTGACTGTTCCTTAGCCAAGCACCTGTCACTAGAAGTGAAAGTTATGGGTCTCTTGGATGAGACTTTAAAACTGAGGTCTCGTCCACCTTAGGTGTTAAGAACCTTCACTGCACAATGGCACTAAGTGCTGATTATAGGTCTAAATTTGAAGTCCTTCACCTCTATATGGTGACGTCTGTATATGAGTGAAAAATTCTAGAATAGGACGAAAAACAATATATAATCAAACAATCAATCAATAAAGTTTAGGGAAATTAAGAGTGGCTAAAGGTCACATATTCTCATATTGCTTTGTACAATTTTGTAACAGTTTAACTGTACGGATCATTGCTTTCACCAGCTGTTCTGAGTGATTTAAAAGTCTCTAAATAAACATTTTGATTGGTGATATTTCGCTTAAAATTATTTCTTAATGCTATGTTAATGTTTATTATGTATGTATAGGAAAATAAGCATTTTTTGTTTCGATTTTTCGAAAGGAAGTTTGCAATAGAAGTCACTTGAATCATCGGATTTTAAAATATTGCAAAATATTTAAATGGCCTGTCAATATGTTCTTATTTTCATTTCTGCTGTTTGACTGAAAGGAACAAAATGGCTGCTAATGCAGAAGCATGTTCTCTTAGAAGCAAAATCAAGTCCTCTGTTCATTTTGAGGACCGCTTTGATCGAGTGGCCATCTTGTATTGGTTTAATTATAATGGGGATTTAGTAAAATATGCCAGTTTGAAGAAAAATGAACACATACGTCAACCATCCCTGGTGCGCAAGAGACCGAGAAACAAATGAACGACTTGAAATCAACAAAGTTCCAGTGTATTATCCAACAGAGACACAAGACGGAACCGTCAACCCTGTGTTCATAGATATTCCAGGTATATATGAGGATATCTATTTGACCGCTCCGTTTGTTTACTTGTCAAATATGTTTTTTTGGCAGAATTAGGCAATACATTTGGGAAGAATTTGGGTTTTGCGACTGGTAAAAATTTGGTACAGTTTTAGGAGGGTGATTAGTGGGGGATTATGAATTCACAGTTGATGAAAATGAACTTAATATATATTGTCAAATATGTTAAGACCGATAAATTCTACAAAGACTCTTTATCAGCTGAAAATTGATTTTTGGGTTGCAAAAAGTTTTGAAAATATGTATCTTAAATGAATAAAGCAGTTAAATATTCATTTTATTTTTCTGTGGTACTATGAGCATCATTAAATTTTAATTGCAGGAATAATGTAAATAAATCATAAAAATAAAAATACAGTTTCTGCTCCTGATGGTCATTCAAGAATACTGTCCAAAGAGAAGACGACATGTAGGATATGTGTGTTATATGTATTCCTGTACAGACGTCATGGGATATCGGGAAACACGGTTATTGTACTGGAAAAAGGAAACCAGATGCATTGTGTACTAAATGTATCTGTCTAAGATAAGGTTCAAAATATAGTTCAGTGGAGTTTCTTCATGCATGATTATGATTGACTACCAAATATAGGGTTCAGAGATGTAAGGTGTTGATTACAAAAACGACAGCAAAGTCAAAACACGAAAGAACAATGTGATGCAAAAATATGTCACTAAGAAATCTCTCCATTAACTTTAAATGTATGGTTAGAATGAGTTTTTTGTGTTTAAATTTACTTTCAATTATTTTGTCTGCTTTGTTACAAAAGTTAGTTTTAAAGTGTTTAAAACCGATTTATTTCAATATGAATTATCTATACACGATAGATATAAAGTTTGCATTCAATTTGTTTATCATTACCGTCTTAGAACATAGCTATTTCAATTTGTAATTTTCTCGTGAAAATCAATGACATCAAAACTGTTCATGTGAAAATTCTATCTAACGAGTGAAATAAATTCCAAAAACAACTACAAAATATTGAATTTTCTGTTTATTACATTTTCTTTGATTTTCCCTCTGCCTCTGTCTTTTCGTGACACAGTGTCATAGGCTGTGACGTAAAAGATAAGCGGCTGAGACGTCATAGATTAGCAAATGTGAGAGTGAAAACATTGTAAACATAGATTTCAACAATATTTGAAGAAAGGTGGGAAGTTTTAGTCTCTATCAGGATGATCAATTTACTCTCTCTTTCTATAACAGGTCAGGGAGGATTTTGAAAATCTCGAGTTATAACGAATTTCTCATATTTGAGCTTGAATGCTGTTCGTTATCTCCATTTCATTCTTTCACACTGTGACAAAATATCACGTTGATATTCATTCACATTGTGATGAAATATCAATTTTATTCAATATATATAAATTACAGAACTTCACTGTTGAAAATTGTAAAAATAATGTTTACATATTTTTTTTACAATACCTTTATCCCCGACTACACAAATACCATAAGCGGAAATACACGATATGTTACTCTCTGGAATATTTTTAGCTCACTTAAGCCGAAGGCTCAAGTGAGCTTTAGTGTCCGGCGTCCGTCTGTCGTCTGTAGTCCGTAAACTTTTCACATTTACTCCTTCTCAAGAACCACGGGGCCAATTTCAACCAAACTTGCCACAAAGCATACTTGGGTAAAGGGGATTTAAGTTTGTACACAGGAAGTGCCGCGCCCTCTTTCAAATGATAATTAAGAATTCGTGAAAAATTTTGGCATCTTTTAAAAATCTTCCTCTCAAGAACCACTGGGCAAAAAAAGATGATACTTATGTGAACGCTTTATTACATCCTATAGATTCAAATTTGTTCATATCATGACCCCGGGAGTAGGGCGGGGCTGCAAGAGGGGGTCGAAATTTTACATAGGAATATATAGAAAATGTCTTTAAAAATCTTCTTCTCTAGAATAGCAAAGCCATGATTAGTCATATTATAATAAAAGTATCCTCAGGTAGTGTAAATTCAAGTTTGTTCCAAGTTGATCCCTGGGGGTAGGGCAGGGCCACAACAGGGGGGTTAAAGTTTTACAAAGTTTTATATAGGTGTAGTTCTAATGGTTAAGGGGCATTTGAGTAAAACGCATTGAAGACCTCATATAAAGGAATGACCTGAAAACCCTTGAAATGGACTAGCCAAACTAAAGGGTATATAAGGCAAAGCTTTGGGAATAAAGTCAGGTATTCAGAAGCTAGCTGAAGAAGTTGGAAGCTGAATCAGCAATAAAGAAGTTAAGGTATTCCATCCCTAATAGCAACAGATTCAATGAAATTGAATACATAACAGATGTGTAGGTGTTTAATACTCAGTATATTTAGGCATAATTCCATTTTATTACTATTAGCATGTAAGGGTGGGATGTGTCCCTAATTTATGACCTTGAATTTTGGTAAGGGTTATCTCCCTCTATTTTTAATCAAAATCAATTTTAAAAAAACTTATCTGGTAAAAATCGTCTTCAATCGTCAATCTACTTCTAATGTTTTAATGCATCTTTCCTCCACAGTATTTATTGATATTCTTATTATTTGAATATTTATTTTTAAAATAATCGCTTGTCCCCATAGACTTCAATGCAATCTTTGCTAATTAATTACTGCTTAGTTAATTACATTTTTGAAACTTTCTCCTGGTAAATCCTTTTCTACTGTGAAATGTATTTTTTTTTCATAAGAAATATCTTTAAATTCTTCTTCTCAAGAACAGCTAAGCCATTATTATTAATTCATATTTATACAAAAGCAACCTTAGGTATTGTAGAATCAAGTTTGTACAAATCATGGGGGCACAACAGAGGGTCAATTAAGTTTTGCGTAAGAAAAAAATATAGGGAATCCTCTTGAAAATATCTTCTGCTCAAGAACAGCAAAGCCATGATTAGTCATATTTTTATAGAAGCATCCTATTTAAGTTGCTACCTATTTTTTTTTTAACAACTTAGGTCAGTCGCGACCGGGGCTTGAACCCACGACCTTCCGATCACGGAACGAGAGCTCTACAGAATGAGCTAACGTGACAGTGAAAAACATCGGGAAAAAACTTTAAAATTCTTCTGTTTAAGTGCAGCAAAGCCAAGATTAGTACATATAATACTGATATAGAAGTATCCTGAGGTAGTGTAAATTAAAGTTTATTCCCCTCCCCCGTTCAATACTGAACTGATTTCTGTTTCTTCCTAGCAATGAGCTCAGGTGAGCGATGTGGCCCATACGCCTATTGTTTGATTTGTTTCTTGCTAGCTATATTTAGTATTGAATTTAACCATTGATTTTAGTACTACTGTAAATCACTTTTTATTCGGAAGAACTTAATTTTCGCGTAATCACGCGAAACGGTCTGCTAACGATAATTTCATTCCTACGTATATTATTTTTAATAGTATAGGTTTGTAGCGCCGCCGAGCGGTAAACGGCTTTATTTATTCTCTCATTCATTAAATGGTAAAACAAAAGTATTTTCTCTGCCTTAAAAACGATCTAGTAAGTTTATTTAAGAGATGAATTTAATTTTTGAGAATTCATGAGGGCATGAACTACGACACTTCACGCCGGTGTAAAGACGAATAATGACCCCCATAGAATAATGACCAGGGGGTCATATTTCAACGACAAAAAATGAC